TGGCAGGCACGTTTCGCCATGCCAGCAATCCGATCACCTCTCGCCTCCACGCACGCTCCGTGGCCACCATTTCCGGTGTGAGAAAGGGCTCGAAGGCATCATCCAGGGGAGGAAAACCGGGAAGTTGACCGAGCTGGTCACCAGCATTCTCCTCTGTGTTGCTAGGCAAATGGTGCTGCCTCGATTATCTTCAACTCTCTGCACGGTCGAAAGTTGCTTGGCACGCTGTGGCTTCTCGTTTTGTTCCGAGCCACTTCCCGATATTCTACGAATGTATTCCGGGTACAGAGTTGCATTTCGACCTGCTCGTCGTCCTCACCTTCGCCAAACGTAGCCGCGCTTGGAGAGGGCTCGTTGGGTTGGGGTGGAGCGGGAGGCGGTCGAGGCTGCAAATCTACCGGGAGCTTTTGGCGCTCCCAACACGAGCAAAGCGAGCCTTGAGCACCGCCCATGGCCTTGCACAGGCCCTGGGCACCGCGTCGCGGCCCCACGTTCTTGAGAATGCAAGGTGGTTTCAGGTTTTGACATTTCTTTCCACAGCATTTGTCTCAAGTGTTTCGCCAGCATTGCATCTCCGGTCAATCTCGGTGTGAAGATAGCTGCAGCAGGGACTTGCAAAAACGAGCACACCGCAGCTACACAACTTCCAATTCATCATGCGCTGGGCAGTTTTCTGCTATAGGCAGCCCTGTATCTCCAACTGTGGCGACATGCAGAACTTATACCTGCACCGTGAGTACTGCTCTAGCACTACGGTACGAAACGCTTCACTCCGAAAAGCCCCACCATGGATAAGATGAGTCGGTCTGTGGACTACTGCACCCGTGCTGAAAAGCCCAACTCTCAACAGAAACAGGGGAGGTCGGCACAAGCGAACGTGAGAACAGGAGCTCGACCGCCTGAGCCGGATTTGGTCTCGGTTGGTGGCTCCTTACTGCGGCTCTTACCATGACGATGTCTAGGGTTTAGGGTTTAGGGTTCAGGTAGTCAGTAGCAGCAGCAGCAGCAGCAGTGGCAGTAGCTCTTCATGTGCCGTATGAACTCAACCTGAGCTCCAAGCCTCTTTCACCACGGGCAGAAGCCTCAGAGCGGAGAGTTCAAGAAAACACAGAAACGGTACACCGGTGGCTTGTCAAACTAGAGCTGTTTGAGTTCAAATCCGCGAACAATAACGACGATTAACGGTGTCAAACGATGGCAGCAACCCTTATAGCAGTAAAAACAACAACGTCAACTCCAAAGCAAAGGGGGTTAGAACCTGGGAGGTGCCGCCATGGCGCCCACCGTGGTGGATCCCAACACCTCGGCCAGCCAACTCTGCGACCTCGGGCAAACTCAGGATTCGAGGGAATATTATCAATCATAATAATAGTAGTAATAACAATAATAATAATAATAGTAATCATAATAGTAGTAATAATACTGCATCTGCAAGGGATCCCATTCCGAGGACAACGATGGCCGCGACGATCACGCAACATCAGGACCAACACGACCACTACTACGACAAGGCCTACTACCACGTCTGCCGTGACAACGACCACCACCGCCTGCTGCACTGCTCCTCATACCTTCAGAGCCTCAGAGACCAAGTTTTGGGCGTAATGACAAAAACTACTGTAAAACACAGCATCTTGGACAACACGAAATCTGAAAAATGATAGGTTAAGGCTGCTGCTGCTGCTGCTGCTGCTGCTGCTGCTACTACTACTACTACTACTACTCCTGCTACTACTACTCCATGACCAAGAAGCGAGCCCTCCTCACCTGGGGAAGTTCCCGGTCTGCCTGCCAGTGGAGGCATTCCATCACGGTGCCATTGAGGCTTCTGGGTTTAGGGTTTGGGGTTTAGGGTTCAGGGTGCAAGATTGAGGTTCAAGGGCGAAGGCTCTGGAGTCTCGGGGTTTTTAAGCCTCCTCAAACCCCTTTTAAAACCCAGCCGTTAAACCCAAAACAGTTCCTACCAAACCCCCTTGCAAGACCCCAAGGCGCGACCTCCGTGAGGCGCTCCAAGGCTTGCTTCAGGAAGATGTGCACCTCCGGCCAAAAACGGAGTGTTGAGGGCTTAGGGTTTAGGGTTTAAGGGTTTGGGGTTTAGGGTTTAGGGCTTAGGGGTTTAAGGGTTAGGGGTTTAAGGGTTTAGGGGTTTCGAGGGCCCTTTTTCCTCCTTGCAACCGTCGGAATACCTAGCGGGTAGTGCCAGTACCCGAGACCCAGCCAAGAACATGCAGACATAAATGACCCACATAATTCAACCAACTAAAGGTAGAAGTTCTCATGGTCTCGAGGCTCACAACGAAAGCACCAAAGTTCCAGATGAGGAGCATAAATAGATGCCGACAAGTGTACCTGTAGCACCCTCCGGAACCCATAGAGCTGCCCCACGAGCGAAACACACAGCACTTCCTCGATGCCTCCGCGCAACATCACACCATCTTACAACCAAAGTCGGTGAACCCAGTCTACAGGAACCTAGCCTAAATGACATCTGAGCTTCGAGGCCGTATCCAGTTGCAGCAAAACCAAGGCTTCGATCACATGCCATCTCTCTGCAGGGTTCTCACTGGCTGAGAACAGCCCGGCAACTCGTGTCCACTCTAAGACCATACCAGCGAGTCAATGCTGCGTGAGCTAAGCTCCAAAGGTTTTGAGGAACGTTTAGAACGCTCTTCCAATGCAGGTCTTCCTGTGATTTTTCCAGGATAAGAGCGAGGACCGTACATCTAAAATGGTGGAATTCGTCGACACTTCCTAGTGATGCCGATGATGCCAAGGATGCCAGTGATGCCAGTAGTTATGGTTTCCGTGCCACCACTACTTAAGGGCGCGGCTTCCGTGCAACCACTTCAGGCGGTAGTTTCTGTCGTTTCTGTGGGACTTCTTGCGGTAGCCCCATCACCGCCATCACACTCCACCAAAACGACGAAGCTCTCTTGAGTCATGCTGCCCACTGCGCTGACTGAGGTGCAGGTCGCCTCTGTCTCGCCGACGGGGAAGTTTCAGCCCGATGACGGACTACAGGCAGCTGCCACACCCGGGAAGTTGTCAGCCGAAGTAGCAGAAAATGTGACCACAGTCGGACTGCAGGGCTTCACATCGATATCTTCCACCTCAAGAGTTGGCGGATCGTAGTCATTGACTTGACCTGTGGAAGTGCCGCCTGCGGTGCGGCCAGCAGCATCGGTCGCCATGTAGGTCTCTCTCGTGGCACCCGTTGCCTGTCGCGGTAGAAAAGGCACAGGTCACCACGGCAAAACACTCTCCATCGTTGCTGGGCACCGTGATGTCAGCCGGGACGACCAGCACAGGTGGCGTCACATCAGGGCCACAATCAGGGTTTTTTTCACTAGTGCTTGTAGTCGTTAGCAAATCTTAAATGTCCCAGGTGCTCTCCATTGGACACATGCACGAGCACAGCCAAGGCCGCTAGCAGCATTTTGCCTAAAAAAGTGCAGCTCTGCATGCCGCAAGGTCAGGGAGGTCCATGCAAGCTGAGCTTTGATCCTGCACGACATCGGCATGGGCCAAAATGGCGTTCAGGGTTTAGAGTTCAGGGTTTACGGTGTAAGTTTTTTCTGAGCACTCCGTCCCGATGCTGTTTCAGAAGCCTGTCAACAAAGCCAAGGTGCCTTGTCCAAGCATTGTCTTCATCTAGTTTCGCACAGGTCAAGCCTGTGCTTTCATCCAGGCATCTGTCTTGGCAATCCTCTCGTCAGTGCTAGACATGACGGTTCGTGTTCCGATGCCACCAACACCACGATGTTGGAGAATGCCACGCGCTATTATTATCTGGCATCCACAGCGTCTTCGGTAGGCAGCCGGTGGGATCCACCTCTCACGTCAACCATGCAGCAACGAAACAGTACACTCTGCATGACGCAACGTTCGAACCTCGTGAGGAAGAAAAACTCGTTCATAATGGTTCCTGCCGGACTCTGCAGCATGATGAAACCAAAAACAACCCTGCTGCCGCAAGCTGCCGAGTCAACGGGCATTGCAAGACCACAGCCACCCGGCTCTCTTAAGCTTTACGGCCCACCTCGGCTCAAAAGTCTGCGAAGCGGCAGTCGGCCTTGAGTTGAAAAGGTTGTGCATCACAGAGCGTCTCTTGAGCTGAGGAGGGACTGTGCAGTTAGGAAGGCCGGATGATTGATTCTGATAACTTATGATGCATTGCATAAGGGCATATCACCAAACTTGCCTGCAGCATCGCATTCAGATTTTCCAGGCGAACATCAGCAACGGTCCGTCAGCAGAGATTCAGCTGTCAGAAGACGTCGGTGCAGAAAGCTTTACTAATATAGTTAATTTAGCGAAGCAAAGTCGTGAGCGCGTAACTCTCGCACACTCCCCGCCACACTCGAACCACACTAAATCGTAGATACCACCCCTGGCAATGCAAGAGTCATACGGGCTCACATCAGGTAAGCAGCAGTTCTCCGTGCTTGCTTCTTCACAAGCACGGTGCGCAAGTGACACAACAGTCTTCCAAGGCATGCAAGTACCGGGCTGATGTCCTCACGCCCCTCTGGTGATCTTTGGGCTCTGAGGAGCATCTGCATCTCAGAAATGTAGCGGCGGGTGCTCAAATGCACGAGTACTCATGCCTGCTGCTGGAAGCTGGAAGATCAAGTAGAGGCCTGCCATGGAAAGAGGCCATCAACAACAGTTGAAAGACTAATAGTCATGACAATATTACCACAAACAAGAACAAAATCATAGTTATAGCGATAACAGCAATAATAAATCCAAACAAACTTCAGCCACCCATCCTAAGTCCCAAGCCCCTGACCTCAGGCAACAAACAATCCGGTGCCCCCGTCAGCAATTTCAACAAGCTCTGCAATCTGAAACCACAGCGCTCGCCCCCACAAGCTGCCAAAAATCCTAAACCTATATAGACAACCTGGAACTCCAAAGCCCGAAAATCCTCACCCGGGGCCCTAAAACCCTAAGATCCCGAGCCCTAGAACCATGGATCTGCGCCCTTAGCCCCCCCTTTAAGGACGTAGGAAACCCTGCACCTTGGGCGCTGGTGGCCCCGGTTGTGGCCGTGCGATGCGCTTGGCCAAGGGTGAGGCCTTTGGCTGATCCGGGCCCATGCCCTGGCCTGGCCAGGGTTTAGGAGTTTCTTTGTTTGTTTAAGCGCCTTTTTCCCCCTAGCAGTTAAGGTCGGCGGAGTAGGAGTTTAGGGCTTAGGGTTTATAGGGCTTAAGGTTGATAAAAGTTTAGGGCTTAGGGGTTTTGGGTTAAGGGTTTAAGGTTTATCAGGGCTTAGGGCTTAAGCTTAATGTTTGAGGCTTGTTAGGGGTTCACAGCTTAGGTTTACTACGGGTTTAGGGTACAGGGCTCCGGACAGCATTTAACTACCATGGTTCAGGGTCTTTCTGTGGTGTTGTAGACTTGTACGGCTTGCAGCATGCAGGGTTTAAGGCTAAGGGCTTTGGGCCCAGCCGAATAAGACTTCAAAGGCTGGACTTGAGAGATGTGGCTGCACTCGATAGCATTGCAACGCTGCAAAAGAATGCACTGTCCAGATCGCGGGCGGCCCAGACGAAGAACTCGGATCTCATTCACACTCCATCCCTGACATCCAACTACTTGGAGGATCATGGGACTTAGTAAGTAAGGTTATAAGTCCCTTCATTGGGGTGATAAGTAGATATAACCATATGGCTATAGCTACCTTCATCATAACCCCTACTTACTAAGTCCCACGATCCTTAAAGTACCCAACTCGGGCCTGAAGGTCCCAGCTGCATCGGGTCCGACGTCATTCCGCCAGGGAGTCCACGGCCGGAGAGGGGCCTTGGCTTACTTCGGCTGGGTCCCTTTGGAAACTCTGGGTTTCAGGGATTTGGGGGGTTTTGGTGCTTCTGAGTACTTAAGACACCTGGGGCTTGGGGCTTAGGTTTAGGGGTTTTATGACTGGGGGTAGGGGTGTTTAGGGTTCGGGGTTTTCTCGGTCCGCGTCCTCAGTAGTGCTCGGAGGGATCTGGGGGCTTCCAGAGTCTGACTCTTCAGAGGAGGGGGCCCTCACAAGAATGCCGACTGCTCAACCCCCTTAGCACTCTTTTGCAGCGAGGCCACCCAGCCATGGGATTGCCATCAAGGCCAGGCAGGCCATAGCCTTCGCGTTGCGGATGCAGACGACAACGGTGATGCTAGTGCTGCTGATGATGATGACGATAACGACACGAAGACGATGATTATCATGACCACGATCACGATCACGATGATGGCGATGACGATGACGATGAGGATGACGATGACGATGAGGACGACGATGAGGATGACGATGAGGATAGTGATGACGATGACGATGACGCCACGAAGACGATGATCATCAGGACTACCAAAACGACCACGATAATGACGATGACGATGAGGATGACCCTGATGACGATGACGATGAGGATGAGAATGACGATGATGACGATGATGAGGATGATGAGGATGATGAGGATGATGCAGATGATGCGGATGATGGGGATGATGCGGATGATGAGGGTGATGCGGATGATGGGGATGATGGGGATGATGAGGATGATGAGGATGATGCAGATGACAGGGATGACGAGGATGATGAGGATGATGAGGATGATGCTGATGATAACAACAATGGTCATGACAACAACCACAAGGTCCTGAAGGTGGTGGTGATGGTGCTGGTCCGGATTCTGGTGCTGCTGCGCATGCAGCTGCTAAAGCTGACTTTGATGCTGATGTCGGCGACAAGCACCGTCAGACCCAAATAGGGGACCCTAATATAGTACCCTAAATAGTAGGATCCTTACTATAAGGACCCATAAAAAAAAGTACCCCTAAACCCTGTGATGCTTGTGATTATTATTGTTATTATTGTTATTACTATTATTACTATTATTACCATTATTATTGTTATTATTATCATTATTACTATGCTGGTTAAGCACAGGGAACCAGGCCTGGCGGACCTGGCAGTGGCTGCCCTGTGTGCGGATCCTGCAAACATGTGGATCTTTCTGACAGCAAAAGAAGAAGAGCGGATAGCAGACTGTAGCATACTTTACTATAGTCCATGATCGTGTAAAGGTTAGAGTTTACTACCATTTGCTACTGTATAGTTTATTATAGTCTTTTGGTGTTTATAGCCTACTACAGTCAATCATGGTGTATTCTGGAATGTTCTAGTAGACTGCATGCTTTTGTGTGCTAGCAGGGTGTATAATCACGATAAGTTCTCGCAATAGTAATACCCCCCGGAGAACCGCTGGAAACACGAAGCTTCACCAGCCCTGAAACGAACTTGCAAGCCCCTCCGAGCCGTCGTTAGACGTCCTTCAACGTCAGAGCCAGCTGCAGCGGCTGCTGCGCCCGCTTGTCCACCACCTCCTGGGAGCTTTTCAGAATCAAGCATCGGAGTGCAGCACCCCGCGGTCCGGAGCAATCGATGAACAGAGTCAGAGAGTTTCACGAGGCAGCTCACTGTGATGTAGCGGCTCTGGGACCTGACTTCTGCATGTTTTAGCGTCCTTCCAAAGCTCGCGCTCATGGCGAACACGATCCTCGGCAAGATGCAGCAATCCCAGGGATGGTGGGAGGGTTTTGCGTGTAGGATTGGCATGTGTTGAATGCCCCCTTGTGCAGGCATGGCTCCAGTTGGCTTTCGATGTGCTGCTGCGAGATCTGCAGAAGGCGTAGCACGGAATGGTCAGCCTGCCGAGTTGCTTGTTCACCTCTCCCCTCTTCTTACTATCCTTAGCACTCGAGCTCTCTGGAGGCCTTCTTTCCAAGGAGGTCCAGAATGCTGCGATACTTCTGGGAAGAGATCTGCCGCCACGTCTTGTCAACCTTGCTCGCTCCCTCCAAGGTCTCTAAAGATTCGGCCGTCCCGGCTTCTGAGCGGTTCATGTAAAGACAAGAGACCCGACTCACCAGATTCTGTGCGCAGTCCTCCCAATTCAGCAGCTCCACATCAACATCGAGCTCTTCCTTGCAGCGCGGGTGAGCACAGTCTGGCCATGTTCCGAAAACTTGAACAGTTGCCTCCGTGCCATCGTTCATCCTCGCTCCTGGGAACACCCCCACCACCTGGCAGATGGAGAAACACCATTTTGCATACTACGAGTCTACTAGTAGCCCTATCATGCCCTTTCAAAGGTCAAGGAAGCAAAGGGAAGAGCCTGGCATAGCTTGACTGTGCCACGGGTGAGCTTCGTGACGTTCTCCTCGCACAGGTGAAGCGGCTTCAAGAGAGAGGGAACGGTGTACGGCACATACGGCACGACATCTTGATCATATTCCCGATACTAGCACAGGCAAAGGAGGCAACCGCTCGATATGCGACTGTTCGACGCCTAGATGGCTTCAAATTGAGCTTTGGGAAGTCAGGTCCGCGATTTTGAAAACGCGCGACTTCTGCAAAACTCCGGCTCTGTTTAGAAATCTCCACTACTCCACTCTCGATAAGCATGGTCTCAGTCACGACCCTGCTTCCTCCAAGCTTTGGAAATTCTTCTCATAGACCTTCTGATCAAGCTCCTGCCAAGGGCCGCAGACTCTCTGTCTGTCTCAGTTTCTACTAGTATCACACCAAACGAGCAAGATGACACTGAAGACGAAAAAGAAGATGATGTCTGAGTCAGAGTTTCTTGGAAACTGCCTTAGTTCGCACTGGGGCGCACGCATATGCTGTATGCATATTCAGCATATAGATGTAGGCATGTAGGCATGTATGTATGTATGTACGTACGTATGTCAATGTATGTATCGATGTCAGCATGTAGGCAGGCAGAGTTGGCAGGCAGGTACGTGCGTATGTATGTATGTATGTACAAACAAATGGACGCGTGGAAAGCTGGATGGATGTGTGCACTGATGTATGTGTATGTATGTATGTATGTATGTATGTGTGTGTGTATGTATCTATGTCAGTATGTCGGCAGGCAGAGTTGGCGGGCAGGTAAGTGCATGTGCATGTGTCTGTATGTATGTGTGTTTGTATGTATGCATGCATGCATGTATATATGTATGTACAAACAAATGGACGCGTGGATAGCTGGATGGATGTGTGCACTGGTGTATGTATGTATGTATGTATGCATGCATGTATGCATGTATGTACATCTATATGATGTGAACACATACAAACTTCCTCAAATGGAGACAGATAGATTCGATGTCCGTCATGTACAACCCCGTGCCTCATAGATGCCGTCCACATCCTGCTTGTGCCGCTGGTTGTCCTGCATGCCAGGAGATGGGATACAAGCTCAGGACAGGGAACGAGCGAGGGAACGAGCGAGGGAGCGAGCAGAGAGAGAGAGAGAGAGAGAGAGAGAGAGAGAGCGACAGAGAAAGAGAGCGAGAGAGAGAGAAAAGGAAGGAAGGAACGAAGGAAGGAAGGTCCGGCCTCGATGCGTTGGCGCTCCAGCTTCCGCAAGTCGTCACTGTTCTTCCCGATGTCCACGTCATGCGCAGCACTTTTCACGGTTAAGTTGTTCACCTGTCAGTCTTGTGCACAGTAGCGGGCTTTCAGACATTTCCAACGGCAAAGGACAGTATGGAACGGAGGGCGAGGCATGCAGAAGCAGCTCAAAAAACAAGCCTGCACAAGGCCTGAAGTCGCCAAAAAGTGAAAAGACCTGCGGCTTTGGCGGCCTCATCACGCAGCTTCCCGATATCGCGCTTGGACTCGCCACTAGCACCTCAACGAGGGATGTAAAGAAAGCGGTGCATCAGCCACCCCTGAGGGCCCGGAAATCACTAGGCCCTGAGTCAAGGACCCTGAAGTCCTGCAATGCGGAGGTCCAAGGCGTTCAGGCGCTTCGAGGTTTCCTGTGACAGCCCCATGGCAGCGATCTCGTTCGAGCCAGCCCCACACTGCAAATGCCTTGGAGATGTTGGAGTGGTGGCGCTCGACACCTCGGGAGCAACAGACACTACTGGAGTTGTAGTCCTTCATCTCGAACGTAATTTCACAACCTCGTTAGCCGAGCTACCATCGATACGATCGTTGACCTCCTTGTGGAGGTCTTCGTCTTGCTTCTGCAAATGAGCTTCCAGCTGTGCCGTCCTCAGATCGGACAGAAAACAGGAGGTCCAGGTGCTAGCGCATGAAGCGCATGAAGTTAAGTTGATACTGCAACGCTTTCTAGCTGGCCTGTTGTCGATCTCCTCCCGATGTGCATCGATCTTCGCATGGATCTGTTGGTGAGTGTCGCCGTGGCGGCCTCAAGAGGAGACTCTGAGATCCTCTGAGCAGCAGTCTATGTCTGCATTTCTCGAATTCGCTCGGGTCCGGGCCCAGGGTCGTCTCCAAGTCCTTGCAATGCTGGTGGCGTTCATCAAGACGTTGGGACACCACGGAGTTCGAGTCATCCACGTAACCTCAGGCGAGCTGAAAAGTAGCGGAGCAGCAACTGCCGGCAGGGGGCGAGGGGAGGCTCCTTGAGAAGTGACGCTACAGCTTGCTGAGGCTAGGCCTTAGGACGGGGAGCGTTGGATGTTGGCGGCATTCGTGTCGACCTTCTCCGCCAAGCTCTTCAGATTCTCGCGCAAACTTCCGAGGTCTTCGTCCACCTTGCGCCTGCGGCTGTCCACTTCCAAGCGTAGCGCGGACGCCATGTCGCGTACAGTCTTGATGGAGGCGTCGATGTCGTCGTTCATATCATTCCAGGCCGTGATGTCCGTCTTGGCATCGAGCTTCGCTTGGGTGCTCTGGGCATGCTCGCCAATATCTTCGGACAGCTGCTGGCAGCGCTCATGCACCTCCTGCAGACTCTGGGACACATCCTCCATCCAGGCATCGTGCGCTTTCAACGCCTCTTGCATGTCGCCCATGTCCAGGCGCATGGTGGAGATCTCCGCGGTGACCGTGGCTTCCACGCGCTGGCGCGAGGTGATGATAGAGTGCGTTGAGTCAACACGTGCTCTCATCTCATCCAGGTCGACGTTCACCGCATCCATCGCAGCAGTGAAGTCCTCCATGTCTCTCTCACAGGCGAGAACGATGCGCTTCACCTGGGAAGTGTCGGTCTTGGAGGCATTCAACATATCCTTCAGCTCGCCCATGTCATACTTCACCGCATCCAGGTCATGTGAAAGGCTTTCCAAGCCTGGAGGGCTCGAGGCATCTGCACCGGTGCCGGCCCTCTGAGAGCCCAGGAAAGACACCTTCTTCTCCACGTCCTCAGGGCAAGTCACACACAGCCTTCCGTATCTTACGATAACATGCGAGCCAAGTCCATGCAACCTGATCTACTACGCGGTTCCCACCTGTGTGAGCTGCTGGATCTGCGTTGAGACCTGCGCCTCGAAGTCGCTCATGCGGTTGGTCATCTTCTTCAGGAGCTGGCTGTCGCTCTTGCTGGCCTGGCTTCCCTTCTCCTCGCCACCAAGCTCCGAGAGGACCCGAGCCTCCAGCTTTTTGAAGCGTTCGTTGACGTCCTGAACCAACGCATCCGACTTTTGGCTGACCGACGACTGCATCTCGCGAGACTCCTCAGGGAGGAGTGAATCTGACAGCACGCCACCACTCCGCCACCATCAAGCAAAACACCAAAGGCACAGCTTGGGCTGGTGTTTCCCCTCCGCGTGTCTGGTTCCAAGAGCCGCTTTTCACTCCCCAACTAACCTTCTAGAACACTCCATGAGCACTACAAGACTTCCGGAAACACAGAGCCAGCACAACTCTCGGCTCCTGAACCACCACTTCCGACGCATACTTCTTCACATCAGCCAAGACTTGCGACAAGTCCGCGGTGGAGGCATCGTGCAGGGTTGCAAACATCGAGTTTGTGTCCTTGAGGACCTCACGAACCTCGGGAGCTTTTTTGCAGAATCCCTAGAGACTTTGAAGGATCCCTTCGCAGCGGCCTACTTAGGCTTGGTTGCATCTTACGAGAGGAAAAACATATTTGCCGAGCGACCTGCTCGCATTCCGAAGCCACGTCGGCGAGGCTCATCTTGGCACAGACCTTGCTCACGAGCTGCAAGATGCTGTCGCTGTTGTGATGGCACGCCTGCATGGTCTCAACGAGGAGCTTCTGATTGGCCAGCATGATGGCAGGTGTTCTGCCACAGAAGAGAAGCCAGGGATCTGTTTGGAAGGCAGCCGATCTACTCCACAACAAGACGATAACGTCCACCTAACAGGCGTAAATACCGCAAGATTGCTGAAAATACAACTGCCTGCAATTTAGTAAAGCCTTCTGTCATGATATGTCCGTCTGCCAGCAGCCAGATGGCCTGAGCCTGTGGAAAAAAGCAGTTGAGGATGAGACGTGATGACAAGAGCCTGAAATGATGAAATGTTGACCATTCTTGGCCGACAGTCGGACACGATTGCACCTTTAGACACTTTCAGGCCCCTGAGCCCCCAAACCCTAAACCCTAAGCCCTGAGCCTCTAAGCCCTAAGCCCTAAGCCCCTGAGAGCAGCGGCAGCTTGGCCACCCGACCCAACCAGCGCTGAGAGCTGACAGAGTCAGGCGGGAGCCGCTGTAGGCAACTCCACCTGTTGCGAACACTAGAGAGGGATGCGACAGAGATACATACATACATACATACATACATACATACGTACATGCATACACGCATACATTCGTTGGCAGAGAGAGAGAGAGAGACAGAGATGTACATGGCTGACATATTCTCGGGAGTTCGAAGGCTGCAGGCTCGGAGGAGAGGCGGCCGCCTTTCAGAAGACCCCCGGTCGCTGCTCTTGTCGAGTATGAGGGGATCTCCTGCAAAGGTACACCGTGTCGGTTGAGGAGCCAACTCAATGACTGTCTGACGAATCTGTGGGACCTTTTACAAGGAAGGAGAGTGATCGAAAACACCGTTAAGCACGTCAGTGTGCAAGAGTCAAGAGGTCATCATCTTCGGGGCTCAAGGCTCGGGTGTCTTGGCCAAGCTCTCAGGGCCTCGTCTCATACCTGAGCCAGACACTCACTGGGGAGTGCATGTGCTTGTGTTCGTAGCTCTGTCGCAGTTGTCGTGGTAGTCGCAGTGGTAGCAAGCAGTAGCAGTGTCGGTAGCGTTAGCGCAGCGGCAGGAGGAGCAGTAGTCGTAGTAGTAGCATGAGCGGTAGCAGTAGTAGCAGGTAGCAGTACCAGTAGCAGTAGCATACAGCAGCAGCAGCAGCAGCAGCAGCAGCAGCAGCAGCAGTTGCATGCAGTAGAAGCAATGGCAGTAGCAGTGTAGCCGTAGCAGCAATAGCAGGAGCAGTAGCAGTTGTTGTTGCGCCACGGCTGCTGATGTCATTTCGTCGTCCATGGTGGCGGTGGCATCTGGTTGGTCGCCATCGTAGCAGCAGTAGCCCTGTTTGTTTATACATCATTGGCTAGTCACTAGGTCGGGAAGATTCGGGAAGTCCAGGTCAGGCCTTCCTTTTTGTCAGCGGCTGCAGCCTCGCTGCACGATGTCTCGTTCATGTCTGGTCTCCCTGCCTGCAATTTCTTACACCAGTGGATGTTTAGATGCCCTCGCTGTGTCTCTTGCTAGTTGTTCGAGATTGTCAAAACCGACAGGCAGATACATCCTTTGCGTCTTCGACCAGCCATCGGCCGGCTTCATAACTACCCTGGACAGGTTCTCGAGGATCCAAGCGTAACGTGACACAGTGGTGCCAGGACACCTGCCTTTTGGCAGCAGCTCAGACCACTGCTTGCACGCTGTAATTAACTACCCGGCACGACCCTCTCCGCTTCCTGCCTGCCTTCTTGTGGCTTGATGGATTCTTAAGAGTATTCTTAAGGCCACGAGCAGGAAAACGGAGCTACAAGCATGCGATCTCAGGCAGGCGCCGACTTCGAAATCTAGGCGATCTCTATGTGGGGCACACATGTCCTGCTACATGTTCCGACCACTTAGCTCTGCTGGGATTTTGATGATACTGCCTTCCTTGTCGCCTGCACCAAGGTCGCCGGGCTTTTCTGGCAGCTTTTGGCCTCATCGTCGGGCACCGCCTGTTGCGTTTCGAATGCGGGACATCACGACAGCATCTGGATTTCGTACACCTTCCAGCAGAAACCTGAGGTGGCAAAGCACTGAAGCTCTTAGTTCCGTTTCTTGCAGCAGAGCGTACTGCTCGCGGTCTGTATGTCATGTTAGAGCAAGCACTATCGAAGCAGACTTTGTTCTGAGAAGGGCTGGAAGAGGTGCACTTCTTCACGGAGAGCTCTGACAGACCTAAGCAAAATCAAAAGAATACTTGTGTTTGTCGAAGTGTCGTGTTCCTTCCGCCGTCCATGCCCATAACAGTCATGGCAACGGTCTTGTCAAGACCGTAGAGAGCATCCTGCGTTCGGTGATCCAATCCATTCCTTGCCAGAGACCAGCAAGAAGCTTTAGACCAAGAAACAAATCACAAAAATGCACAAAAGCCCCTCAGCAACCTCTAACTTCATCTGCCTCCGGCTCCCAAAGCTCAGAGAGCTGGCACCAGAACCTGAATTCTGCTCACCGGGGCTCTTCCGAATGAACTCCTCCAGGTCGTCTCGCCAGTCGCCCCCACCGCCGCCGCGGCCGCCGCCGCGGCGCCCACGACTCCGGTCCCGTCGCCTACACCGCGCGAACTCCGAGCATGCCGTCGGCTGCGCCACGGACCCCATGCTAATCGTATTCATACCGACTGCTAATGCAGCTACCAATACTCATACTGATGTTGATACCTGGACAAGTACTTGTGCCAAAACAATACCAATCTCACCAATACTAACAGTACTAACACTGTCATAGTGCCTGTACTGCCAGAACTGGTACGATTCGAATCCCAAACTCTTCGGTAGTACTCGCGTAAGATTAGGAAACAGAAACACGCACGGCTCCGGCCTGTCGCGACCCCGTCCACGGTCCCGGCGTCGGTCTCGGTCTCGACGGCGATCACGGCTCCGGCTGCGGCTATCCGAGTAGTCGCTGTAGTACCTGAACATTATGTAACATAATGATTATTATGTAACAGAATGTCTTGTAACATGACACTCAACTGTATGCTTTTGTTACTCTTTTACATATTGCCCCACGGTTCAGTAGAATATGAACAAGCTAGAGTATAAGATGGTGAAACACTGATGGGCATGTGACTTCAAGGCCAAAACGGGTTCGTTCATAACACTAGTGTTGTTCGTCCTGCTACTAGTACTCCGTGTAGTAAGAACGTCGTCATTGCGATTGTTCTCATTCCTGTCGCTCTTGGTATTCTTGCTATTGCTACTGTTGCAGTTACTATTGCTGCTATGGTCACCGTTCACGGTACTGTACTATCCTCTACTATACTATACCATGCCATACCAGACTATACCATACCATACTATACTAAACCATACTATACCATACCACACTACAATAAATGATATACTATAATACATGTTAACATACTAGACTACCCTAGGATAGACTATAATTTATTATATGATTACGCCGAGCAGCTCGTATTCCTCGGATGCTCCTCGGCTGTCCTCACGACCACGGCGGCCACCTCCCATGGCTCCAGCCGCGGAGCGAAGCTTTGAGCCCTCAAGCGGCGGAGAGCTCTGAAGCCGAGAAGCCCAAGAACCCCCAGAAAAGGCCAAAAAGGCCGAAGGTTCTAAGTATCTGTTATATGAATTATGCCAGATTATGCTTACATCGGTTGTATTATATTAATTATGCCAGATTGTGCTTATATTGGTTGTATTATGTTATACTGTATTGCTTTAGATTATACCTCTCGAAGCTGCTTAACCTTGAGCTCTTCCATGAACCTCTTGCACAGATGGTCCTGATGACCACTTCGACCTCATAGACCTGAGCTGAATCAGATGGCGTCCGGTCTCGCTGAAAATCGGCTGCCGAGATCTGCCTGGAAATGCTGCTGTCAAGACGCGAGGACTGAGCCAGCAATAGGCAAAGGGTATCCGCCAGTTGAGGAGCATCCTGAGCCGAGCATTTTACTCCATCCGGTCAAACTGTTGCATGAGAGATGCATGCAGACACCAACCAGAGTCCGAGCGCCTTCCAAATGTGCAAAACATTGAATCGACTTAGCATGTCTCAATATCTGTACGCATGTGCTCTATATATATATATATGTGTGTGTGTATATATATATATAACAAACAGACAGACAGACAGACAAACAAACAAACAAACAAATGGGACAATATGCAAATAAATCAATAAATACAAATACACAAGTATGTATGTATAAATTACATATATAGACAGAAAGACAGCCAGCCAGGCAGCCAGGCAGACAGGCAGACAGATAGATAGACAGAGATAGATAGACAGAAAGACAGACAGAACCAGATAGATAGATAGATAGATAGATGGAAGTGGAAACATGTAGACGCATGTGGACATCCACACACATACATACGTACATCTATATATATATATATTATATATACATATATATATATAAATATATAGATATATAATATACTTTTGTGTTTGTTTGTTTGCAATCAAGCGATATGCTGTCAACAGCAGCCAACAGCACCATGCACGCTCTAGAGAGACTCGATACGGTGACTGTGACAACGAGTGTAGGGACAGAATGCTACCTAACACCAAATCGATCACAAAGTGTACTGTCTCTCTTGTTTTGGCCAAGCGTTGCCTCAAGAATCGAGGCTGCATATGCCACCAAGAGCTCCTGGAAGATCGAAGAAAGACTCCTCCTCGCCGACGCTTGCAGGAGATGCTTCGGGATGCAGCAGACTGCGAAGGCATTCAACTGGAAAACTGATATTGAATCTGCTGCCAAGATGCACCCTCCATGGTCGTGATGGACATAGTCACTATCTCGCCCGAGATTTTTGGAACAAACCCTGCCCCACCAGCTTGTGAGTGCCCGTCAGCTGCATACAACGGAAGCACAGGCTCTGGCATCTTGGCCTCTGCTTGTGTCTGCTGGTGCTTTGGATCTCAACGTCACCGGTCCAGGGCGCACATCGCCGACCGCCGCAGCTGGCGCCTCTGCTCCCGTCCTTTGGCCCGAGTGCCTTCTGGAAGGCCTTTCCCCCTCGCAGCCATGCGACGAACGGGTGCACAGGATCTCTTCCTGGAGGAGGCAATCGAGATTGAGGAACTTATGCCTCGCTCCGGCATGAGCTGCGAGAACGAGCATCCTCTGCATCAAAAAATGCTACGGGGACGTAGACACAAGCGGCGTCCAATGAACACAAACCGAATCCGACATGGCACAAAATGTGGCTTTCTGTCATCCTGGGAGGCAAACTGCAAAACTTGGGTTCGCAAGGTGTCCAGCTGGGAGCTTCCGAAGATTAGGGGTACCTTATTTTGGGGTCCTTATAATAAGGATCCTACTATTTAAGGCCCTATTTTCGGAAACCCCCAGTTGAAGAATGGACGTATGGAACAACAAGGGTGCCCAAAGCTACACACGTGGGACCTTTGATCTCTCGTCGGCATTGCAGACATCCAAGTTTGGCATGTCCTTGGCGTCCAGTCGTTCTGGCTCAGGCTTCTAAGAGCAGGGCTTCAGCGGCTTCCCTGCGGCTTCCAACTGTCACTGCTGCTGCTGCTGCTGCTGCTGCTGGTACTACTACTACTACTACTACTACTACTACTGCTACTACTACTACTCTTACCTACTACCCACTACCCACCAGACGACTACTGCTGGTGCTATGATTACCACTATGTTTGCCGTAACTGGTCTGAAGGGACTATTTCTGGCCGTCAGAACATGCTGCAGCAAATCCCTTTGATGATGAGCATGCCTGCAAGATAAGAAACGTGCAGGATCATTGGACAAGAGCTCGCCGCACATCACCAACCCTCATTGACTGAATCGTAATAAGAGCTAAGCCAGAACGACAACGATCCATCACCGCCAGCCTCATCACAACCGCTACTACAGCCGGCAGCCTCCACGCATCAACATGAACATCATCATGGTAATCATCCTCAGCAGCAGCAGCAGCGGCAGTGGAAGCAGTACCACTACTACTACGACTACTACTACTACTACTACTACTACTACTACTACTACTAGGAGAAGCAGTACTAGCAGCAGCAGCAGCAGCAGCAGCAGGAGCAGCAGCAGGAGCAGGAGTAGTAGTAGTAGTAGGAGGAGGAGGAGGAGGAGGAGGAGGAGGCGCCCGCCCCCCCTACCAACCTCTGCTGCCAACCCTCTTAAGAGCACGTTCGTTTTACTCGGTATTTACGGTACGTTCGTCCTGTCATACCACTTCTTCTTGCCTCAAAATCCACTCCGCG